GCAGCCCAGGCTGGTCGAATTCACGGCCATCTTCCTACCTCAACCTCCTAAATGCTGGAATTACAGGCATGTACCATCACATCCAGTTTTACAAATAAATTTTTTAAAAAGAGCTGTGGATATAGATCAGTGTAAAGGCCCTGGTTTCAATTCCCAGTACAAAAAAAATTACGGTAGAACAGAATTTGTCTCAGATGATAGAGTTTTGTGGAGCCTTATGTTAAATTTCTTAGAATAGCTTCCTTTATGGGCACATTTCACAAAATTTAGAATCATCAAATTCTCTATATGCTGGGCATGGTGGCCTGCACCTGTAATCCTGATATAGGGAGAAGAGATGTAACTCTCAAACCTACTAGATATCTGAAATGCAAGTTCGTGTTCTCTAAAATCAAAGAATGAATTCTAGGAACAATGGAAATTTATTTGTCTTTTTTTTTTCTTTTTTTGGTACCAGGGATCGAACTCGGGACCTTGTGCTTTTGAGGCAGATGGCGGAACCACTGAGCTAAATCCCCAGCCTGGAAAAATTTATTGAGAGAAAGAAAGCTTCTGTCTAAGAGAGACAGAAGGGGGACCGGAAAGTGGGTTGCCCACCCCCCCCACATTTCAAAGATGTTTTATACAGCAAAGCCATGTGGTGAGTCGGGTACAAAGTGGGACAAAACTATAAGACCCAATGGAAATTTATAAGGTGGGCATGATGTGGGACAACACCATGACCAACCAATAAGATTACAAGTACAATCACCCAGGTAATATTGATTAAATGGGGGTCAAATAGGGGAACAAGTCACATAACAAGCATACAAGGATTCTCAGTAAGGATGGGGGTCAGGGATATTTCCTGGAGAGGCTAGGTTAAGACCTTGACGCCCCCCCCATCCAAGTGATTGATACCTATTTACAATATCAATCACTGCTATTTATCCCCAAGGGAACCACAAGGGTATATAGTTTCTCTCCTTTTACAATTATGGCCTTCAGTGAATATGTCTTGATTGTCCTCCATGTTGGCTCCTCCTGGGCTGCCCCTGTCTAACTGCCTACAAGATATCTAATTAACTTACCTAGCTGCAATAATCTCAGCACTCTGGGAGGCTGAGACACAAGTTCAAGACCAATCTGGGATACATAGTGAGACCCTGTCTCAAAAAACAAACAGAAAAACTCTCTACATTATGGGAACTAGACTATAAGCAATTATTTATTGTGAATATAAACTTTATCTATTAAGTTTAAAATAATTTCTCTTAAGGCATGGGATGTATATTGGATGATGGGAAATGGGAAGAAAGTGTTCAAATGGGAAGGGGAACAAGGGAGGAGGGAGGGAGAAAGGAAGGAAGGGACCAAAAAAAGTGAAAATAGAAAAAAATAGAAACAAAGCTTTTGTACTTAGGGATGGGAAGAGGGTTGAGGGGGAATGGGATAAAATAAAATATAATTTATTAATAAAACATAATAGCCAGGGGGCCAGGGATTTAGCTCAGTGGTTTTGCTGCCTGCTGCACAAGCGCAAGGACCCGAGTTTGATCCCTGGTACCAAAAAAACCCCACAAAAAACCAAACAAACGAACAAAAACATAATAGCCAGGGATTTAGCTCAGTGGTTTCGCCGCCTGCTGCGCAAGCGCAAGGACCCAAGTTCGATCCCCAGTACCAAAAAATAATAATAATAATAATAATTTCTCTGAGTGGTACAACCTCACCATAAATGAGTTTGCATTCCCTCAGTAATTTGTATCCCTCCTCATATCCATTTACAGTTAATCCCTGTTCCCAGTCCCAGGCCCAGGCAACCACTAATCTACACTGTCTCTGTAAGTTTGTCTTTCCTGGACATTTCACATAAATGGAATTATACATTGTGAGGTCTAGTGTCTGCCTTTTCATTTAGCATGTTTTTTTGTTTGTGTATTTTGGATTTTTTCTGTTGTTGTTGTTTTGAGACAGGGTCTCACTATCTAGTTCAGGCTGTCCTCACACTCATTATGTAGCCCAGGCTGGCCTGAAACTTGTAGTGATCCTCCTGCCTCAGCCACTTGAGTACTGGGATCACAAGTGTGTGCCACCACATCCAGCTTCATTCAGTATGTTTTTGAGGCACATCCATGACATAAACATGTGTCAGTGTAATAAATTGGTTATTTCTTATTGCTGAATAGTATTCCTTTGTGTAGATATGCCCAATTGGCCTCTCCATTCATCAGTTGATGGAAATTTAAGTTATTTCCAGTTTGGAGTTATTATGAATAAAACTGTTATGAACACTCATGTATAAGACTTGCTTTGATGGCTGGGTGTGGAATTGTATGTCTGTAATCCGAGCACTCCGGAGGCTGAGGGAGGAGGCCAGCCTGGGTCACATAGTGAGTTCAAGGCCAGCCTGCACTATGTAAATGAACAAACAAACAGAAAAGACTTGAGACGAAGGGTATTTTCATTTTTCTTGAGTAGATGCTTAGAAGAAAGATTGCTGAGTTATATGGCAGTTTATTTCACTTTTTTTTTTTTTTTTTGGTATAGGGGATTGAACTCAGGTCCTTGTGCTTGTGCAGCAGGCAGCAAAACCACTGAGCTAAATCCCCAGCCCTTACACTTTAAATTTATAGTCCATTTTGAGTTAATTTTTGTGTATAAAGGTCTAAGTTCATCTTTTTGCATGTAGATAATTTTTTTTTTTGAGACAGGGTCTCACTTTGTAGTTCAGGCTGGCCCTGAACTCACCATGAAGCCCAGGGTGGCCTTGGTGGCAGTCCTCCTGCCTCTGCCTCCTGAGTGCTGGGATTACAGGTGTGCACCACCACACACGGATGCATGTAGAGATAACTGATTGTCCTCCACCATTTGTAGAACAGACCATCTTTTTCAAAATTCAGTTAACTATATGAGCTGGGGATGAGCTCAGTGGTAGAGTACTTGCTTAGCATGCATTAAGGCCTGTGATTCAAGCTTCATCACAGCCAAAAAAAAAAATCAATTGACTACAAAGTATTTCTTTTTTTTTTTTTGGTACTGGGAATTGAATTCAGGGCTCCCCATTTGTCAGGCAGGCACTGCGCCACTGAGCTATATCCCCACCCCCAATGTATTTATTTCTAAACTCTTCATTCTGTTCCACTGATCTATTAGATGTGATAAAAAACTATGGTGGATGTTTCTGGGCATGGTGGTACACACCTATAATCTCAGTACTCGGGAGGCTGAAGCAAGAGGATTACCCTGGGTTCAAGTCCAACCTGAACTACATAGTGAGACCCTGTCTCAAAAAAACCCCAAAATAAAAAATGGTGGATATCTACTATTTTAAAAAAAAATTATTGGGGCCGGGGATTTAGCTCAGTGGTTCCGCCACCTGCCTCACAAGTGCAAGGACCTGAGTTCAATCCCCATACAAAAAAAAAAATTATTAACTGAGAATGGTGGCACATGCCTATAGTCTCAGCATTCGAGAACGAGGCAGGAAGATCACCAGGAGTTCAAGGGCTACATTGTGAGTTCAAGGACAGCCTGGACTATACAGCAAGATCCTGTCTCAAAAAAAAAATTAGAATAAAAGACATATTGTCATTAATCCCTCTCAAAACATTCCCCCTTGCTTCGAACATACTTATCCCACCATTCTTGCCACTTTCTGAAGCAGTTCTGGAAATCCTCTTTTGTGAGTGTCTTTAGTTACACTGTTGTGACTGCCTTGATGTCTTGGGTTGATTCAAAATTAATTTCATGGTCCTTTTGACTTTAGGGAAGAGCCAGAACTCACACAGTACCAGATCTGATGGACAGTGTGGATGAGGAAGCTGTGTTTTACTACCCTGCCTCTCTACTGGATGGCAGCCAGCACCAACATGCACAGTATTTTTTTCCAGGATTTTTTGGGGTTTTTGGTGCCAGGGATCAAACTCAGGTCCTTGCACTTGCACAGCAGGTGGCGAAACCACTGAGCTAAATCCCCATCTCATGCGCAGTATTTTTTGTTTTGTTTTGTTTTTTTGGTACCAGGGATCGAACTCAGGTCCTTGTGCTTGTGCAGTAGGCGGCGAAACCACTGAGCTAAATCCCTGGCCCCAATGCGCAGTATTTTTGATCAGACCTAATAAAGACACTTACCACAACTGTTACAGATCTTCCTTAGTGGGGGAACTCTGCCTGGAAACTTTGCAGATGATTGGTTTGCAGTCTACTCTAAGAGTCTAAATTTGGGCTCCAGTTCCTCTGGTCAGGCATGGGCCCATTATCCTTTCCATTTTTGGAAAATGCAGGCAAGAGTATCCATGTCTTATTAGAATAAATATAAAGAATTCAGGGTAGTGCCCTACCCTCTTCCTAGCCATCCATTCAGAACACACTGGGGTTTCCCATTCCCAGCTCTTCCATTGAAGAGCTGATCATAGCAGAGTAGGGGTCAATTGAAATGGTTAAATCCTGGGCTTGGGTCTGAATTACAGCTATAGTTAAAAAAAAAAAAAAAAAAAGAAATTGCCATGTGTGGCGGTACACACCTGGAATCCCAGTACTTGGGAGGCTGAGACAGGAGGATTGACACCAGGCTTGGCTACATAGAGAGTTCAAGGCCAGTCTGAACTACATAGCAAGACCCTGTCTGGGAAAAAAAAAAAAGAAAGAAAGAAAGAAAAAAGAAATTGAGAGCTATGAAAGGGTCCTAAGTTAGAGGAATAGTTAAGGGTCTGTCTAGTTCACAGCAAGTGTCAGAGCTGGGAACTGATCATGTCTATACCTAGTTTCAATAGAAATCAAGAAGCAAAACAGGAAAAAATGGAAATAAAGTCTTTGTAAATAGGGAAGGGTGGAGGGGGTGAAGGGAGGGCTAGGAATGGGGAAAAAATAAGAACAAAGATGCATCATGTAAAGGTACAAGTTCCCAATGAGAAATGTAATTGTGTTGTATACCTACAATATACCAATAAAAGAATTTAAGAAAAAAAAAAAGAAACAAAACAATCACATTCCCACTCATCCCCAAACCATGCACAAGACACGTGTAGAATGCCTGGTTTATTTAAATGGCTGCCCAAGGCCCCACTATGGAGCAGGAACTGAATTTGCTCAGCAGGGCAGGGATGTCTAGGTATCAGATGATAAAAGGAGCTCACTTGAGCAGCCAGAGCAGCATGAGGGCCAGGCTGAGCAGGAGAGGCCCAGCCCTGCGGACCCCAGCCGAACTCATAGCCTCAGCATAGAACCTGGCAACTTCCTCATTGGGGTTGCCCTGGGCTGGATCAAACCACATCTGGATGCAGCGGCCGCTCCCTCTGCTGTAGTTGCTGACTTTGTAGGAATGACTCCAGATTTCCTGGCACAGGTCAGCAGGCGTGGGGAAGTAGAAGTGGAAGGGGTGGCAGGCAGCATTCGTGGGGCACTCGTTATACCCTGTAGGAGGGATGAAGACCTTGAGTGATTAGGCCTCAAATCATCTCAGTTCTGCCAGCCCTGCAGCCCCACGTCTTCACATCTCAGCCCTACAACCCCACCTCTGCTTCCTTCCTTCTGCCCCATCCCAGCCCTCACCTTTTTCCCAGTTCCAGCCCTTGTGCCAGTTGGACTTGCAGGTCAGGGAGGTCTTGCAATCCTCCCACCAGCGCTGGCAGTCCTCCTTGCACAGCGGCACATTGAGGATCCGCTCTTTGCGCCAACTTTGGTCCACCTGGGAGGTTTGGGAGAAGAACCTCAGCACTTCAGCCCTGAATAGAGCTGGAGCTGGAGGCGCAGCCCTTGGAGATGTCTGGAAATCCCAGCAGCTGTGCTGGTTTGGGGGTCCCAGGAGCACTCTCTTACCTGCTGGATCCAGGGCCCTAAGTTGGGGGAGCACTCATAGAGGCAGGTGTCCTGGATGAAGTGCCGCTTGCAGGTGGGCTCCATCTCTCCACAGTGGTTCCAGTTGAATCTATACAAGTTGGAAATATTCTTATGTGCTTCCTCGCTGGTGTTGGCATAACAGCAAGAGTTCTTCTTCCAGGGACTGCACTGCATGGGACAAGACACAGGGCTGAGTCCACACCAGCACAGCCAGAATCCCACATGCAGTCTCCCTCTTTCAGTCCTTGATTCCCCAACACAGTCAAAGTCCATCAGGGAAATATTTGCAGGAGTTACCTTTAGAGAATGGGGCTCTCAGAGGCTAAGGAAGCCCAGAAGGAGCTTACAAAATTCATTAATTCACACCTTTACTAAGCTCCTACATACTCTTTTTTGGTTTGTTTGTCTTGCTTTTTGAGACAGGGTCTCACTGTGTAAGGCTGGTCTTGAACTTGTGGCAATCGTCCTTCCTCAGCCCCCTGAGTGCTAAAATTACAGGTGTGCCCAAACTCCTAATATCCGTTTTTTGGGGTTTTTTTGGTACCGGGGATCGAACTCGGGACCTTGTGCTTGCAAGGCAGGTGCCAGAACCACTGAGCTAAATCCAAATATCCTTAATCCTTTCTCTTTTTTTTGAGACAGGGTCTCACTTTTCAGTTCAGGCTGGCTCTGAACTCACTATGAAGCCCAGGCTGGCCTCGAATGCATGGTAATCCTCCTGCCTCAGCCTCCCAAGAACTGGGATTACAGGCATGGGCTACCATGGCGGGCTTTACTCTTAATCTTAAACACCTACATACTGTACTCTTAACCATTTCAATTGGATCCCACTCTGTGATTGTCTAGGAATTGGGGACATAACAATGAACACTAGTCACATGATAATCACTTTGGGAAAAAACAAACCAGGAGAGAAAGATGGGGACTTGGAATATCATAGGGTGGTCAAACTAAGTTCACTGAGGTGACAAAGGTAACAATAATCAGGAGGTGAGGAAATAAGCTAAACTGTAACTTCAGAATAGTTCCAGTTACATAAACACTCAATATATATTGAATGAATGAAAGCTCTTATCCTAGAATTTAGCATAAAGTAAAATACTAAATTGTACTTTTTTTCAGTGCTGGGAATTAGAACCCAGGACCTCATGTATGCTAGGCAAACATTCTACCACAGAGCTATACTCCAGCATCCAAATTATACACTTTTTTTGGTGTTTGTTTTGTTTTGTTTTGTTTCCAGTACCGGGGATCAAACTTGGGACCTTGCGCTTGCGAGGCAGGCAGGGAACCACTGAGCTAAATCCCCAGCCCAACTTTTTTGGTTTTGTTTTGGTACCAGGGATCGAACTCAGGACCTTGAGCTTGCTAGACAGGGGCAGTGCACTGAGCTAAATCCCCAGCCCACACACTTTAAAAAAAAAAAAAAACCCAAAGGATAGGGGGCTGGGGATTTAGCTCAGTGGCTCCACCCCTGCCTCGAAAGTACAAGGTCCTGAGTTCAATCCCCAGTACCAAAAAAAACCCAAAAAACAAAGGCTGAATAATATAAAGTCAAGGCTGTTCAAGATAGCCAGGTTACATCACTACTTGTCAGTCTGCACTTGGCACCAGTGGTCTTGATGATTAAAAACAAGAGCAGGGGCCAGGGATGTCGCTCAGTGAAACAGTACCTGCCTGGCAAGCTTGAGGCCCTGAGTTCTATTCCCAGTACCAAAAAAAAGAGCAACTGGAAGTATGATCATTACCTGTTAATGCCCTGAAAATGAACATTTACATACTGAAATTCATATTACAAATTACTTGTTAAATTTATTTATTTATTGAGATGGGGCCTCATTATGTTGTCCACACTGACCGCAAACCCTAGAGCTTAAGTGGTCCGCCTACCTCAGCCTCCCAAGTGACTGGCCTTTTTGCTTTTTCTTTTTTTTGTAACCACGGATCGAACTTGGGACCTTGCACTTTCCAGGCAGGCAGTGGAAGCACTGATCTAAATCCCTGGCAAAAAATATTTTGTTCCTTTTTTTTTTTTTAAATGACATTCTGTTCCTTTTTTTTTTTTTTTTTGGTACCAGAGATCAAACTCGGGACCTTTTGCTTTTGAGGCAGGCGCTGGAACCACTGAGCTAAATCCCTGGCCTTTTTGCTTTTTCTTAAAGTTATGACATCATACTGACTTTTACTTTTATTCGATTTTTGTTTTATGTTTTTTGGGTTTTTTTGGTACCGGGGATTGAACATGGGACCTTGCACTTATGAGGCAGGTGCTGGAACCACTGAACTAAATCCCTGGCCTCATTCTTTGGTTTTTTGAGACAGTCTTACTCTGTAATTCATGCTGGCCTTGAAATCACTATATAGCCCAGGTTGCTCTCGAACTCATGGTTATTTTCCTGCCTCAGCCTCCCAAGTGCTGGAATTATATTCGTGTACCATCACATCTGGCTGTATTGACTTTATTAAGTGTTTAGCTAGATTCAGGATATTAAAGGTGTTGTGGCAAAATAATTGTTATATATATAAAAAATTGTTATATAAAAGAGACCTCAGGGGCCTGGTGTGGCCCCTGCATAATTAGACCTTATTTTAAAAAGGGGGTGGGGGGAGAAAACTCAAGTGCAGCAAGGTCAAGAGCCACAGCCCAAATGTTTGCCAGATGCCTAAATCCAAATACTTGGTAGACCTGTAATCCCAGCACTCAGGAGACTGAGGCAGGAGGATAACCGTGAGTTTGAGGCCAACCTGGGCTACACAGTGAATTGAAGGCCAACCTGAACTACATAGTGAGAACCTGTCTCAAAAACAAACAGGCCAGAGATGTAGCACAGTGGCACACCTGCCTGGGAAGCGCAAGGTCCTAAGTTTGATTCCGGGTACTGGAGGAAAAAAACCAAAACAAACAAACAAACAAAAACCCCAAATGCTTGGCAGCCAGCTTTGTGGTGGGCGAGGCCTATGGACCTTTCCCATGCTGTGGAGGAATGGCAGAGAGGAGGCACTACAGGCAGAGCACTTCTCAGGGAGTCCTTCCTAATCTAAGCCTCTAAATCCATTTCCGCCCCTAGGACGGATTTTCCTCACTGTGCTTGCCAGGCTTCTCTCTGGACCGGCTTCCTTATTTGCGTAGTTTGGATACCCAACAAGAAGGTGAGGCATTGGCATTGAACTGACATCCAATCCGGCACACAATGGCCCAGTCACAGTGTTAGGCGAAAAGTGAGTCAACAGCCGGCTGGAGACAGGCAGCTGGGAGCTACTGGAAAGCAGAGATGTGATTTGGTATTGTTTTCTTAATAATTAGTTATAGATAAGATCCACACATGCTGTGATTTCATACTTTAGTCAAGGGAATATAACATCCTCTAAGTGTGCTGATAGCACCCAGGGCCCATATGACATTCAGACCATTGGTCAGGGGTTGGAAAAACCTCAGGGTCTCAAAAGAAACTAATTGGAGGCCTGGGATTTAGCTCAGTGGCTCTGACGCCGCAAGGTCCCGAGTTTGATCCGGGTACCAAGAAAACCCAAAAAGTAAAGAAACTAATGGGAGACATCCACCTAAGAAGTCAACAACTTTTCTCTGAAGTAGGTAAACCCAGCCCATTTTGTTTATACAAGAACAATAATATCATCAGGGATCACTATTAGGGATGGGGACACAGGCAAAATCCTGGGTGCTTACCTGCTGCTCATTAAAAGCGTGGTGGGGTTTTTTTTGTTTGTTTTGTTTGGTACTGAAGATTGAACTCAGGACCTCATGCTTGCCAACCAGGTGCTTTGCTGCTGAGCTAAATCCCTGGCCCAGTATGATTTGTTTTTTATCCTGGACAGTCAGGGATTTAAAAGCCATTTTGAGCCAGGTATGGTAGCACACACCTGTGGTCTCCTCACAGCATTTGGGAGGCTGAGGCAGGACCCCAAATTCAAGCCAATGCAGGTTACACAGTGAGTTCAAGGCCAGCCTAAACTACATAAGGAGACTCTCTCAAAAAAACAAAACATAATAAAATAAAATAAAACAAAATAAAAAATGCCATTTTGGGAACATAAAAACAATTAACATGTGTTATATACATGTACCACCTTCTCACAAGGAATGTAACAATTATGTACTGCAAACATTTACTAATAAAAATGAAGATGAAAAATATAAAGCACTCCTGGGCCAGGGATTTAGCTCTGTGGTTTCGCTGCCTGATGCACAAGTGTAAGGACAAGAGTTTGATCCCCAGTACCAAAAACAAAAATAAATAAGCAAATAAATAAAAATAAATAAATTTTAAAACCCTCTTTTTTTGTTTTGTTTGAAAAAGAGTCTCACTATGTAGTTCAGGCTGGCCTTAAACTCACTAGGTATCCCAAGCTGGCCTCAAATTTTCAGTGACCCCTGCCTCAGCCTCTGAGTGCTGGGATTAGAGGCATGTGCCATCACACCCAGATAACCTATAACTCTTCACTTGGATCTTCAGATGCCCAATAGGTAACTAAAAGCAGGAAAAAAATCTGACTTTCATTTTGTATCTTTTATTACTATAAATAATCTCTCTTCAGCTCTACACATAATAATAATCAAAAATAATAATAATAATCATGTAGGGAGTGTCTAAAAGTTGGCATAATGAGGTTAATTAGTCCTGAATTGACATATTCTCACCCAAGACTGAGGACACCAGGATGGGGGATTTCCAAGGATTTAACTGTCCCCAGAGGTCTCCACCCAACGTTCTAAATCTGTGATCACCTGGAGTTCAGGAAAAGCAGAGCCTCACATGACTGAAACCACAACAAACAGACCTTTCCTGGGGACAAGAACCTATCCCCCCAGCCATAAAGATTTCTTAACTATGATACCAGGACTGAGATAAGGATCAAGCCAGCCCCAATGCATCAGCCAGACCTTAAAAGCTGGCCTCCCAGCCCCATGTGGTGGTCACACTGTGATCCCAGCACTACAGAGACTGAGGCAGGAGAATCACTGAGAGTTCCAGGCCAGCCTGAGCTACATAGTTCAAGTGAGACCAAAATAATACAAACTGGCCTCCTGCCAGTCTGAATCCCTATACCAGAATGTGCCCCCTCATGCTACCTAAGCTAGAGTCCTTTCTCTTTTAGTTTTTTGAGGTAGGGTCTTACTATGTAGCCCAGGTTGGCCTTGAACTTGCTGCGATCCTCCCAGTTCAGCCTCCCAATTGCTGGGACTACAGGCCTGCACCACCATGCCTAGCTGGAGTCCTTTCTTATCTTCCCTCGACTTTCCAATTAAAGCATTTTCTCCCTTGTAGATTTGTGCTTTAGTTTTAATTTCTATTACTAAAAAAACAAGACCCAAGCAAACTAGGGACAATAATATGTGTGAAACAAGTAGCTGTCCACATCAGAGCAAACCAAAGCTCTCTCCGGCAGCTCTATCCACCTCTGTTACCAAGTGGGGCCCAACATTTCCCTCTCCCGACCTGCTCTTCCCGAGTCAGATCGGCCCACCTGCTCATGCAACTTGTCCTCAGGGCCTGGCTTGACCTTGTGGTGCTTGGCATCCATGCAGACACTGAGAAGATCGGTCCTGGCCCGTGTAGTACTGGTCTGGGCCCCCCACGCGGCCACCCACACCAGGAACAACAGCTGTGTGGTCATCAGGTGGGCCATGGCAGCTCCTGGAGAGAGGGGCTATGGTCAGAGGCACCAGGAAGATGGAGGCCAGGGTTGAAAAGGGGGTGGAGCCTCTACTGGAGGATCCTGTACCACCTCCTCCAGCTCAGTGCTCAATGTTCATTCTTCCCAGACTCTTGAGGAGTGGCTCAGTCACCACCCGCTGGGGACAGTTCCTGGCTGGAGCTTCTCTGAATTCTCCAGGTGATCACGAGGACCAAGTGACGCAACTAAGGGACAAAGACAGGGCAGTGTGCAGAAATAGCTAGGAATTTGCCAAGCATCCACAATCCCTTATTCAAAATCTTTGAAGCCAAATGTTTCCAGGTTTTAAATTTTTAGGATTTTACTGGGTGTGGTGTTACACACTTATAACCCCAGCACTAGGGAGACTGAAGAAGGAGGGTTTAAGGCCAGGCTGAGTTGAAGACCAGTCTGAATTACAGGGTGAGATCCTGTCTCAAAACACACACACACACACACACACACACACACACTTAATATTTTACCAAGTGTGGCAGTGACAACATAGGGAGACTAGATCTCAAAAAGCAAAACAAAAAAAAATTTTTTTTTGGTACTGGGGATCAAACTGGGGTCCTTGCCCTTGCGAAGCAGGCGGCAACACCACTGAGCTAAATTCCCGGGCCCCCAAAAAATTTTTTTTAGAATTTTACAAAAAGTAATACAAACAAAGGTAATATGATTCACATGTACCCAACAATCAAGCACAAGTTCTTAAGTTAAATAATGGGATACTGGTGGGATAAATAAAACTGTATAGAACCTCACACAAATTTTCAGGTCTTTTTTTTTTTTGTATGGGGTATGGAACTCAGGACCTTGTGCTTACAAGGCAGGCGCAGTTCAGGTCAAATTTTACCAAATGGCTTTGTGTAGAAGCTTACAAAAATACCTTCATTTTGGAGCTACAGAAAAACTGAAGATCTATGGGGTTTTATTTGTCTGTTTACAGTACTGGGGATTAAATCTAGGGCCTTCAAACTGGGCTACATCTCCAGCCCTTCTTTATTTTGAAACGGGTCTCACTAAGTCTCTAAATTGCCTAGGCTGGGCTTAAATTTACATCCTCCTGCCTCAGCCTGCCAGCTATTTCAGGCATGAGCCACCACACTGTTTTGTTGTTGTTTTAAACTTTGATTCCAGCCCTTTTCAGCTGCATCACTTGGGTGGTTGGTTGCAAGAGAGCACTACGGGAGACTCCGACCTGGCCTAGAGGCCGGTGACGTAAAGGAGTAAGTAGCCATCTACCCTATCACTGGGTTACCTCCCCTAGCCATCCAATCAATCTTTTAGCCTCAGATACTGAATCTTGGGGGTGAGACTGTTCCTTTCATTCCCCTAATCACCAGGTGCCCAGGCTCTCCCAAAATGTTCCAAATTCATTTCCCACAAATCGCTCCATCTCTTCCCCTTGAGCCCATTTCCCACGTACGAGTCGCTAAAGAGGATGCGCCCTGGACGCAAGCTTGCCTGGCCTGGGCCTTGCCCGCCGGGCACCTGGTACAAGCCCCCACTCCCACCCCGCAGCCGGCTCTCACCGGAGCCGGAGCCGCCGTCTCCGGGCCGACTCGGCACAGTGGGGAATCCCTAAACCCGGAATTGAATTCCCACCTTGCTGACCTCATCCTCTCACTTGCTAATTCGTTCACGTCAGGATGCAGTCATGCCTCTGTGGACCCATCACTCACTCATTAATCTCAGGGGCCGGCCCAGGGAAATTTGTCCCTTCCGGAGCACCAGGCGACTCTTCAGATCCGGCTCCTGGGGGAGAAAAAGTGTGGCCGCTTAGAGTGCAGATTACAGAGGCTCAGGCCGGCCAGGCCCGGCCCTCGCTCCACCCCTGCCTGACAAACCCAGTTCAAACCCTTTCCTCTCATCTGAGGATTAAATGTAGGGGGAGAAGCAACACCAAGTGCTAGCCAATTTAATTTCTATGGGACCCCCTAGGTCTGATTGAAAGCTACAACCCAAGTGTGACTCTGGACCCTCAAGTCCAGGCCACAGCGCTTCAAGGTTCTGCCCCTTGCACCTTCCCATGCTGCAGCTCTCCAGTGCCGAGGAGGTTGAGAAATCCTGTCCTGGCTGGGGCGCTATCCAGAGCCAGAGATCTCTGCAAGCCCCTCCCCGTCTTCCTAGTCTCTCCTCCAGATCTGAGTCCAGCTGTGACATCTCCCACCAGTGTTCACCCCCACTTCCAGTAGGAGAACTAAGAACTCAGTGCTGGGCTGATGGGCAAGAGCCTGGGGTTCTAGTTCCGGGATGGACACTAAGTGCAGCTGAACCCTTGGCAGGTCACTCTGATCTGGGCCTCAGTCTCCACCTCTAGAGTCCCCGGGCCTTCAGGCATATAGAAGGTCCTCCCAGTTTCAGCAAATACTTTACCCACAGTGGGAGTAGGGGGGAGGGCACTGTGGCCTCTGACTCGAGGTTGGCAAGTAACTTACTTGGGAGAGAAGGCAGCTCTCAGACTGGCTCCGGCTGCTGCTCTGTTCCACACCTGCCTTGCCTTCGTCTAGGGCACAGCTGAGGTTTAGTGGCCTAGGAGACGGGCAGTGGGGTGGGCAGTGGGAATGGAGCCCAGGAGTGCAGCCTGGGATGGGGCGAAGGCCACTTGCTCAGCAGTTAATTATTGCACGTTAGCACCTGCGGGCCTACATGGGGGTTGGAGAAGTGCATGAACAGTGCAGGCCTGGGCTGTGGCATGACTCAGTGGTACAGTGCTTGCCTAGCATGTGCAAGGCCATGGGTTCAATCCCTGCACCACAAAATAGTAAAATACTGTACCCCTAAAGGCCAGTTCCCCAACCCCATTACCCTATTTTCTCAAAAGCTCAAGTCTGATAAAATCTTGCAGCCTGAGCTGCCAAGATCCACTGGGATAATCTTGCCCATTTCCTCCATCCCCACCCTGTTACTCAAACAAAGAGATAGGACTCAGAGAACAAAGGCAGAGCCAAGTTCAGAACACAGGCTAATAAGCCAGGTGCTGCAGGTGGTTCCCATGGGTCCAATGTGCAGAACCACCAACTCCTCCAATCTCACCAGCCTAGGTGTCATTGGCTCTCAGCCACAAAATTACAGACATTCAGAGCCTTTTAATCAGGATCTAAACTGTTCAAAGATCCAAGCTCTTCTTCCTTCATCCCGTCACTACCCCCACTACTCCCCTCTCCTGTATCCTTTTAACAACTGCTGCGTCTGCCTTAGACTCCTTCCCTACCTCTAGTCCAATCAAGGACGGAAGCCTTTGTTTGTTTGTTTGTTTTGATTTGTTTTTAGACATGGTCTTGCTTAATGTCGACCAGGCTGTCCTTTTGATGATCCTCCTGTCTCAGCCTCTCAAGTTCTGGGATCACAGGTGTGCACCACCACACCCAGTGAAGTCTTTTTTTTTTTTAACTATGTGAGCCCATGGTGGTACCACTGATGGGAAAAGAGAAGGGAGGCAGACATAGACAAGAGGAAATGCAAAGCTATTTCCCTAGGTACCTGCCTGGACCGAGGGAAAGGTCCAGGTTAGACCTAAATGTGGAAACCACCAGGCTATGAACAGCAGTAGAAGTTTAGGTGTAAGACCGAGGGCCTTACCAAATGCTCCGAGGAGCTGACTGCAGCGAAGAAAACCCGGGAAGGAACACACGGGACAAGTTGGAAAGTAAAGCAGACCTTAGTCTGGCCAGACGGCACTCCCAAAGCAAAGTAGCTTAGAGAGGCGACTAGCCCAGAGTCCGAGGCTCTTTTTATAGGGGGTTGCGGGGGGAAGTTAACAGGCGAAATTTACAGAAGAGGAACAAAGGTTAGTGGTCAGCTGACACATACTGATGGTCAGCAGAGGTTTGTAGATTGTTCTATAGATAGCGGTGTCCTGAACATCAGTTTCGAACAAAGAGTTGAGTAATTTACTTTGGGACCTTATGGCTGATACAGATCTTATCTAGTGTCCGGGAACTAACAAGCATCTTTATCTATTTACTCACATTCAATCACAGTTGGGGCTAGGGGAGTTTTATGATTACAGAGTTATGCAGTCCCACATAGGGAAGAATGAGGCCTCATGCCCTGGTGAATGCCACAGGTGTGCAGGGAGGAAAAAAGGAGGGGTGGGAAGAAGGGGGATTCAGACGTGATCGAATCTTTGGAAGAAAACCAGCCAAGGAGGAAGGCCCTGAAGGGCTGCAGAGAGTGACTCCCAGGAAACCCTAGCTCCTGACCTGTGCCCTCTCTGGATGCAGCAGTGAGCCACACCTGAATCCTGTGGCAACTTGGGAGGGTGACATCCTCTGAAGACCTCTGCAGGTAGTGGCCTGGAACTCTCAGATCCCCCCTGCCCTGGGGGCTGATCATTAACGACTTTATGTCTTCACTACAGGAGCTTGGTTTGTCCTCTGCACCAGGCCCCTGGGCCCTGAGTCCTGGAGAATAAGTAACTCAAAGGGAAGTTTGAGTTGGAAGTCGGGAGCAGCTCCTGGGGTGAGTGCCTGACTCTGGTTAAGCCTCAGTGCCCTGCTCTGGATGACAAGATGGCACAGTCTTCTGCAGCCTGGGTGTCAGGGCCATTTGGCCAGCAAGGAGGGGGTCGGGGCTTCCAGAAACAGGAAGGGGCCTCAGAGTGGAGGAGGAGAGAACCTTGGGCTCTTCTGATGTGGCCCCTGCCTTTGGCACCTCACATCAGCCACCCTCAGCTTCGGAGACTGCACCAGGCAGTCCGACCCCAAGCTTGACCCCTTTGCCACAAGAGAGAAACTGTCAGGGCTCCTGAAGATTACAAATCCAGTGCTGCTTCTTTTTTTTTTTTTGGTACTGGGACTCGAACTCCGGACCTTGCACTTTCGAGGCAGACGCCAGAACCACTGAGCTAAATCCCCGGCTTCTTTGCCCTCACCCCTGCCCACACCTTCATAACTTCCTGGAGTTCTGTTGTCCTTCTCTTACATCAGGTGTCACCCAGTTCTAGGAGTTAATAGTTCTCCTGTTTGTCTGTCCCTGCCAGACCTTGCCACAGACTCCAGTCCCTTCTGGTAGATCAAGACCAAGACCAGCATTTGTTTGTTTGTTTTTCTAAGGCAGAGTCTGGCTATGTAGTTCTAGCTGGCCTTGAACTCACTATGTAGCCCAGGGTGACCTCAAATTCACAGCAATTCTCCCTCCTCAGGCTCCCAAGTACTGGGATTACAGGTGTATGTCACCAAACCCCACCTCCTCTGTCTGACCCAGGCCTGGACCCAAGCTCTGGGGATCTGGCACAAAACACCATTGCCTTTGTCCCTGCTTTCAAGTGAGCACAATTTGTTAAGGGAGAGCCAGACCATAAGCACAGTAGATAGATGTCTGTGCTAGGGTACTAGCATGATGTGATAAGAAACTAGATTAAAAAAAATAAATAAATACAATGGGCTTCCGATTTAGCTCAGTGACACCACCCCTGCCTCGAAAGCGCAAGGTCCTAGTTTGATCCTTGATACCAAAAAAATGAATTAAAAAAAAATACATTCATGTCAAGCATGGTGGTGCACACCAGTAATCTCAGGACTTGGGAGGCTGAGGCAGGAGGATCCCTGCAAGTTTGAGGCCAGCCTGGGCTACATAGTGAGTTCAGGGTCAGCCTGAACTACAAAGAGAGACCCTGACTCAAAAAAACCAAAGAAAAAAAAAATAATAACATAAAACAAAATTTTAAAAATACATTTGTCTGGGGCCGGAGATTTACCTCAGTGGTTCCACCACCTGCCTCACAAGTGCAAGGTCCCAAGTTTGATCCTCGGTACCAAAAAATAAAAAATACATTTGTTGAAGGGAGTTGGTATATGTACATCTTGCAATTTAGTCCTTTTTATTTCCCCTTTTCTCCCACCTAACCCTTGCCCTCCATCCCTAGATCCCCTTCCCATCTGCAAAAGCCCACTTCCCTTATTTATTAATAAATTTATCTTATTTCCTCTTTATTTTTTAGATTTCTCATAGAAGAGAAACAATGTGATATTTAACCTTTTATATTTAATATATTTTGCTTAGTATTATGGTCTCAAGATACATCCATTTTCCTATAAACAACTCAAATTAGTCCTTCTTTATGCCACAGTAGTACTGCATCGTGTGTAAATAACACATTTCCTTTATCCATTCATCTGTTGATGAACATACAGGCTTCTTCCAAGATTTAGCTATTGTGAATTGTGCTGCTATAAAAATGGGTTTGTATGTATCACTGTACTATGATGACCTGAACTCTTTCAGGAAGATACCTAGGAGGAGAATAGCTGGGTTGAATAGAATGTCTAATTTCAGTTTTTGAGGAATCACCATACTGATTTCCTTAGTGGTTATACCAGTTTATACTCCCACCAACAATGTATAAGGCCTCCTTTTCCCTTGCAACCTATCCCAGCACTGGTTGTTATCATTGTTTTTAAGATTTTCTTTTTTTGTTTTTTTTTGGTACTGGGTATCAAACTCGGGTCCTTGCACTTGCGAGGCAGGGAGCGGAATCACTGAGCTATAGCCCCACCCCCTTAAATTTGGGGGTTTTTTTGAGACAGTGTCTCACTGTGTAGTTCAGGCTGGCCTCAAACTCACATTGATCCTCCTGCCTCAGTCAAGTGCTGGGATTACAGGTGTGCGCCACCACACTCAGCTCAATGTTGCTTTGATTTCCATTTTTCTGGCTACCAAAGATGCTGAACTTTCGTCCTGTACTTCCTATATTTGTACTTCTTCTAAGAAGTGTCTATTCATAACAAAGTAGCATGAAGGCTTCTCTGGGTCAGGTGGTTAGAAGTTGTTTTAAGGAGAAACTGTAGGTTGAGATCTAAGTGGCCACAGAGGTCCTTGACCTGAGGTGTGAGAGGAGGAGCAGGACCTTCTATGCCACTGAAGTTGGGTTTTTCATGACAGAGAGCATGGGAACACATTAGAAGCTGATAAAGGGACTATCACATAATAGGACATTTTTAGTTTCAGTTTTGTTTTTCCAGGGCTGGGAACTGAATCCAGGACCTCATATGTGCTAGGTATGTATACTCTACTACTGACCTACACTCCTAGCCCTGGATTTTGTTTTTCCACTTATTTATTTTTTAAAATGGCGGGGAGGGGGGGTGAGATGAGGTCTATGTAGTTCAGAGTATTTAAAAAATTTTTGCTATACAGTTAAGGCTGGTCTCGAACTCATTATGTTTCGTTTTGTTTGACAGGGTCCCCATATGTTGTTTAGGCTGGAATTATACTCACCATGTAGCCCATACTGGCCTTGAAATTGAGGTGATTTTCCTACCTCAGCCTCCTGAGTGCTGGGATTACAGGCATTCATCACCACAACTGGCTTTTTTCCTATTTATTTATTTATTTTGGGGGGGGGTTGTTTGTTTTAGAGACAGGGTCTCACTATATAGTTCAGAGTGGCCTTGAACTCACTCTTGTAGCCCAGGCTGGCCTTGAACTCACCACAATCCTCCTGCCTCGGCCTCCTGAATGCTGGAATTACAGGCATGTACCACCATGCCTGTGGCTGTTTTTTTTTTCCTTTTTAAAAATGTCCACCA